GGCTTTCATTGGCAGGGGAATTGAGTTTATGAGCCTTGAGGTTATGCTGCAGCTCTATAAAACTCTGGTTAAACCATACTTGGAATATTGTGTTCAGTTCTGGTCACCTCATTATAGGAAAGATGTAGAAGCTTTAGAGAGGGTGCAGAGGAGATTTACCAGGATGGAGATTACCTGGAGAGCAGATCTTATGAGGAAAGGTTGAGGGAGCTAGGGCTTTTTTCATTGGAACGAAGAAGGAAGAGAGGTGACTTGATAGAATTGTACAAGATGATGAGAGGCATAGATAGAGTGGATAGTCAGAGACTTTTTCCCATGGCAGAAATAACTATTACAAGGGAACATAATTTTAAAGTGATTGGAGGAAGGTATAGGGGAGATGTCAGAGGTAGGTTCTTCATACAGAGAGTGGTGGGCGTGTGGAATGTGCTGCCAGCAGTGGTAGTGGAGTCAGATACTTTAGAGACTTTTAAGCAACTCTTGGATAGGCACATGGAGGATAGTAAAATGTAGGGTATGCAGGGTAGATTGATCTTAGTAGAATAATAGGTTGGCACAACATCGTGGGCTGAAGGGCCTGTACTGTGCTGTGCTGTTCTATGTTTTATATGTTTTAACTTCTTCATTGTCCAATTTAATTTGAGGAATATCAAATTCAGAATCATCTGAACTTGGTTCTTCACTCTGAGTTGTAACAAGTAACACATTCTTCTTTTGCTTTCCTTCCCTATCAAAATACCTTTTCAGCATATTCACATGGCATACTCTGTGAGATTTCTTTCTATCTGACATTCTTATCAAATAATTCACCTCACTCAGTTTCCTTTTGATTTAATAAGGCCCACTAAACCTTGCTTTTAAAAGTTCACCTACTACTGGAAGTAACAATAATACTTTATCTCCACTAGCAAAATTGTGAATTTTAGATTTCTTGTCTCTTTTCAGGTTCATCACATGTGTGCTACTTTTAAATGCTGTCTAGCCAACTCACCCGCTCTATTCAATCTTGCCCTAAAAATTGATACATAGTCTAAATGTGTGGTCTATGAGCACTGACTCACCAATTTCTTATTAATTTATTTCAGTGATCCATCCTCTCACCTCATGCCCAAAAACTAATTCAAATTGACTGAATTTGGTAGATTCATTTGGTGCATCCCTAATTGTAAAAAGTGCAAATGGAATTCCTTTATTCAAATCTTCTGGATCATCTTGACTATAAGTCCTCACCTCTTTAAAGTTTGATGCCACCATTCTAATGCTCCCTTTCATTTTCATGGTACACAATGGATTGAATTGTTTTACTCCTAAACTATCCATAATTTCCTGAATAATATTGATATAAAATTTGACCCTTGCTTTGATTATATCTCTGTGGGTAGTCCATATCTGGTTAAAAAATTGAGTAACTCTTCTACAATCCTTTTAGCCACAATACTGCATAATGGAATGGCCTCTGGAAATCTAGTAGATGCATCTATGATGGTCAACAAATACTGATTCCCACTTCTTCTTTTAGGAAGGGTCCTATGCAATCATATAAGATCCTTGTATCACGTTCCTCAAATGCAGGATGGGTATTAAGGATGCTCACTTTATCACTGCCCGAGGTTTTCCAATTACCTGACATGTCTGGCAAAATTCAACTACATCCTAATGCAATCCAGGCTAATAAAAATGTTTTTGTCTTTTAGCTTGAGTCTTCCTTACTCACAAATGATCTGCTACTGGTAATTCATGGGCTACCTGCAACACTTCCTTTCTATAACCAACTGTTAATACCACTTCATGAACTTCTGCCCATTTCTCATCCACCTGAATATGTGATGGTCTCCAGTTCCTCATCAAGACCTCATTTTTAAGATAATAACAATCTGGGATATACTCAGATTCTTCTTCTGTGTACACTGTTTGATATATCTGCTTTAGTTTTCCATCTTTCTGTTGTGATTCAGTTAATTTCTCTGAACTAAAAATTTCCATTTTGTCCTCTACCTGTTCTTGTTTTCTGTCAACAGTTTGATGAAACATGGTCTCTGATAAATGGACTTCAATTTCTGTACCTTTATTCTTTGATTTCTCCTCTTGCTTCAACCTCTTGACCTTTTTACCACAATCAGGAAGAATCCCATAATATACTTCCTGAAACACCTCAGTTGCCTGATTTTTCACTGGCTTTCCAACCACAGTAGGCATCACTCCCACCTCTGGTGAGGATACATCATTACAGTTGTCTCAATGTGAGTTTACAGACTAACAGTGACAATGACCACTTCCAGTGTCACTGCATGTTTATAGATGAACAGTGGAAACCTATTTCTGTACCAGTATGTTTATACACTAACAGTGGTTAGTCATTTACTGTGTCAGTGTGTGTTTATAGATTAACAGTGATGATCACTTGCTGTCTCAGTGTGTGTCGATACAGCAGTGCGAAACACTTGCTGTATCAATGTGTATTTATAGACTGACAGTGATGATCGCTTGCTGTGTCAGTCTGTGTTTATAGATTAACAGTGATGATCACTTGCTGTGTCAGTCTGTGTTTATAGATTAACAGTGATGATCACTTGCTGTGTCAGTGTGTTTATAGACCAACAGTGATGATTACTTGCTCTGTCAACGTGTGTTTATAGACCAACGGTGATGACCACTTGCTGTGTCACTGTGTTCATAGATCAACAGGGATAATCACTTGCTGTGTCCTCACTGTGTTTATACAACGACAGTGATGATCGCTTGCTGTGTCAGTGTGTTTATAGATTAACCGTGATTAGTCACTTGCTGTGTCAGTGTGTGTTTATAGACCAACGGTGATGACCACTTGCTGTGTCATTGTCTGTTTATAGTCCGAC